TCTACTCATAACTACATGGGCTGACATTGTGGCCTTAGACCCATTCACACAAAGAGAAACTCACCTGCACTGGCTGAACTTGCTGATGATCTCACTAGCTGCTGCCCGACAACTCATTGAACTCCTGGTCCCCTTGCTCCCTGAACTACCAATATCAAAGCAACACTGAGTCTAACTGACCCCCGAAAGACAACCAAGTCAATCCTGGTCAAAGTTAACCTTCCAGGTCAACCCTACTCGCCAAGTCACCCTACTGACTCGCCGAGTTCAAAATGTTTAGATTCTTTCCATTCGCGTTTCAACTCGCCGAGTCAGTCCATGACTCGCCTAGTCTACCGATTTTTGAGTTCTGACCTGTCCTACTCAGTGAGTCTCCACCCGACTCGCTGATTCGAGTCTCAAGTCGAAGGGTTTGGGGTTTCGCTACCTGACTCGCCGAGTCCAAGAATAGTCTCGCTGAGTACAAGGAAATCTTCATATGACTCAACGAGTTGTTCATCCCACTCGTTGAGTTTCTCCACATCTTCATGCTACTCGCCGAGTCCACTCAAAGGACTTGCTGAGTCCCTTCAGTTCTCGTTACATGCAGAGGACTTTTGAGTCATGGATGGACTCCAAACTATAGATCTACCCTTCCCAAGCCTATTCCTCATGTAAAGTTGCAAACTTTACGTGTAGAGAAGGAGATCTAGGCAAAATATGCCATAAACTAGGGTTTAAGGCCAAGCGGCTTCAAAATCAACTCAAGGGCTGATACTTTTTGCTTCTCCAGGCCTTAACACATTTGGATTTGAAGTAGCAACTCCAGATCCGGTTTCTAACCCATAAGGGTGGCTAATCATGGCTTAAAAAGCCCAAAACTCACAACCAAAAATAGATCTAAGGGAAGGAAATGACTTAATACCTTCAATACCTCAGAAAGACTCCACAAACTCCAGATCTGAAACCAATCCTTGAAGCTTCACTGATTCCCTTCCCTCTTCTTCCTTCAAATCACCCAAAAATGTCTTGGAAGCTTGGATGTACAACAATGGAGGCTTAGGCTTCGTTTTCTGAACGAGGGATGCTATAAGGAACCCCAATGGAGAGAATAAGAAGCTAAAGTAGCGCCCAAAGTCCTGGATTTAGGGTTTTCCTCGCACAGACCGGACTCGCCGAGTCCACTTGGCCGACTCACCGAGTTGGCCACTTACACCTTGACCCGGATCCTGCTCGGACTCGCCGAGTCGACCCTTAAAATTAGGGCTTTCTTTCCTTTTGTTGGCCTTTAAAACTTTGGGTGTTACAACTCTCCCCCACTTAAACTAAGCTTTGTCCTCGAGGTTTGCTAGGATCCACCGCTTGCGATCTGCCTCCCATACCCCACCATTCATTCTAACACTAGCTGCCTACCTTCGCTGGCCTTCCGCTCAGTCATTTGGACTAATGTCAATCTTTACAGATAATAATCTTGGGTGCATCCTGACCCTAAACATCTTGGAACACAACTTACTCAACCAAAAATCTTTCTGGTAATCTCCAAATACTGCACTGACCCCGTAGGCGTTCACCCCTTCTTTCCTTGCCTCCCCAAGGCAATGCTCCATAACCATCTATCCCCTCTTCCACTGCGAAGACCCTTTCCTCACCCAATATATTACTCCCGCTACTCCCAGTACGGGTCATCATCGCCATTATCCACTGGGCATTCATTCTACTACCATTTGGCGTCGAGCACTCCACGATCGACTAACTGAATTCCACCATATGCTGCATACTCGCACTGCTACTGACTGGAAATCCTGCTATTCCTTATCTGGATTCCGGATGAACTGAGACCACCCTGGTCCCTACCAACCTATCAATATCTGCATTACCGGCTCCCACCGATTATTGACTCAACACAACCACTAGTCGCTCCCAGTGACATTCGAAGAAGCTTCAACCACCTGTACTGCTCAATCTATTCTACCATGCTGGCACTACAATTTCCAGGGATCCCTGATCCCCTTATCTAGACACTAAGATCCTTACTAGGTCCCACCTGTGCTGCTAAAACTCACGGGCCTCGCTCACAGGTCTCACCCAACCATACTACTGAGCAACCCTGCTCTAGGTCTCACCTATACTGCTATTCTCATACGGGCCTCGCCCACGGCTCTCACCCGAATATATCCTAGAGCAGCCTCTCCCAAGGCCTCACCTCTCAAGGGCTATACAGGCAACTCCTTACCAATCTCATCCATTACCTATTCCTGATCCCTATCTAAATGCTAGGAGATAAGGGCCTCGCCCCTACTCCGCCAACGAAGCTACTACGGAATGCTACGGCTGTCCCGTAGTCTGACAACACTTCCCACCATTGACTTCTAGTGAATGCTACGGCTTCCCCATAGTCTTACATCACTTTACACCACTGACTGCTGCTGAAGAAGGTCGAGGCTCTCTCGCCACTCTTCCATGCTCTACACACTGCTTCTGCCAGTAACTACTAACATGAAAGCATCCTATGTTATTTCACCTAAAGATCTCTATTCCGACTCACACGAGTCCTACAGGCGACCCTTCAACCTGAATCCGAACCACATACTCACCATTACCCATTACACGCACGTACTGATGGGGAGTTTCTCAAACTCCCAACCCTGAACTACTCAATCCGTCAAACGCTGAACTACCTCTTTTCCTTCTCAGAAATCTCATACTCATTCTGGATTTGCGTTCTCTTACCCTTATTCATTCGAAGGATTCTCCCCCACTTCGATCTTGCTTACACCTAACTGCTCAATGAATAGAATTCCAAATCCTTGCTACCATTCCATAATTAATCTGCTAACGAATCCCATGCTTACCATAGCTAGGGATCTAACCAATCCATTTCGAAAACTTATACGACTCCGAACTAGCAAGACACACCGAGTCCCTCCAAGGCATGCTACAAATACTTCACCCTAAGTAACCTTCTTCGATATAACCCATTCTTAACTACTAACCAAATATCCAAGGTATGCAAATGGCATATAACTCGATCACAATCAAACCGCTCAATGAAATGCTCATACAGATAATGATGTAGAACCATAACAATATAACATCATGCACAAACAGAAGAACTGAAAATGGAAATCGCATACCTGCAACATCCGGCGCTGCTCGCGTCTCCAAAGTAGCCATCTCAAAAGCTCTGCCTCCTACCGCAGGCGCCTCCGCACGGCCCTGACGGCCGTCTTTGATCCTCAAGGTTGCAAGGGCAGGTACCATCACCCGTCCTGCTGAAAACAAACTGGGCACTGGGCCTTCATGTGACCCCACTGATTGCAGTGAAAACATATCAAGTCTAATCCCTGAGTGATGGTAACAGTACAATCTCTGCTAAAATGACCAGTCCGACAACACCTGAAGCAGCCAGACTCACCACCACTACCACTCCTGCATGCGCCCCCGTGCGCCCTGCCACACTTTCCGCATCGACTGCGGTCCTGATAATCCCTCGATCTCGAATCCAATTCCTTGGGCCTTTTGCACGAACTCGCGGCTACATGAACCTCATCTGGCTTCCTTTTCCCGATCTGCTCCAAATCGATTTCCCTCTCCCTGGCTCGAGAAATCATATCTTCCAGTGTCTTACAACCGGACCTGCTCACGAACTCCCTAATGTCATCCCTCAGCATCTCGTGATATCGGGCCTTCTTCATCTCGTCATCCACGACATACTGCGGAGCAAGAAGGGCCCTCTCCCTGAACTTGGAGGTGATCTCCGCCACAGTCTCAGTAGTCTGCATCAAATCCTGAAACTCCTGAGCCAACTGCTACACCTCAGTAATCGGTGAAAACTCTGCCCTGAACCTAGCTAAGAAATCACTCCAAGTCATCGCGTCCAACGCGGCATCATCACCCAAAGCATGACCAATATCTTCCCACCAATCCCTTGCTCTGTCTTTTAGAAGACAGGAAGCGAGTCTGACCTTGTCCTCCTCAGGACACCGGCTCGTAAGGAATGCGTTGGCAACATCAGCCAACCATCTGCTGCTAGCGATGGGATCCCTAGCCCCATGATAATCTGGTGCCCCACAAGCCCTAAACTCCCGAAATGTCAAGGTACGTGCTCCCAACAAAGCCATCATCTCAGTACGGAAGGCTCCCAGCCTCTCATCCAAAATCTCCAATATACCCTCCTTAACCGTGCCAAAGATCACAGGAGTCTGAGCTAGAATATTGCGCGTAACCTCGGCTAATATCAACTCTCTCATCCGCTCCTCGAGCTGCTCGACCCCTAAACCCGAGCCCAATCCCTCTCCAGCGCCCGATCCGCCCACTGGTCCCTCTTGTAATGTCACCATCACTACAAGAAAAATAGCCTTTTACGACGCGCAAACCACGACACTCATTGATTTATGTTACGCAATGCAGAGTGACGTTAAAAAAGTGTCATCTCTTCAAAAAATTTAAGGATTTAGGTCACGCATTATTGCGTGCCCTTAAATTAGCATCATACGAGAAAAAATTAAAAACATGGAGGGCGCTGTATCTTAAATGGGCGTCCTCTATGAGTGTCGCTTTAAAATTTTAATGAAAAGCGCGTTTAGTAGATAGGGGTAATGAAATCCCTAAAATTTTGAACACCCACCTTCATTTTTATCCTCCTCTTTTGTTTCCTTCTTGCCCTAATTACGATCCTTTCTTCCCCCTCCATAGATTCGACTGCCGCCTTGCCTAGTTATCAACACTCCTTCCTTCGTTCCTCACTTGCCTTCTTCGCCTGACAATATCTCAAGAAGTACAACTCCGAAAGCGTACAAGTCGGACTTATGTGTCGGAACTCCGGTAGACTGAAATTCAGGCAACATGTAGCCTCGTGTGCCCTAAAATTTCACGAATCTTAAATTTGGCTTACTTGAATCTCGTTCCAAGCTGCTATCGGTTTCGCCACAGAGTTCAGCCGTTCCAAAAGCGCATATTTTCGTGTTGAGTGACTATGATTGGGTTACAATTATGCTTGAGCCGACGATTGGGTTACAATTATGCTTGAAAGTGTGAAGAACTTACATGCTCCATCTAATCATGTCATACTTCATGTTTGTATCACAAATATTGAAGGTCTATCCATTTCTTCTGACATATGGGTTTCAAAATTTGGGGTTTTTATGGGATTTGAAGTTATGGAGATGCAAGGTGCCCTCAAGGTGCTCGATGAAATGCCAGACTGTGTAAGTATATTTTTTTCATATTTGATTAGAAAAAGCGATAACAAAAATACTTCCTCATCAACTCATCTTATGGGCTGTGCTTCTTTGTTTAAAACACGATTACAAATTGGGGAATCCTCCTCCTATCGCATCCTCTTCTAATTTCTTTCTTCTAATTTCTTTGGTTAATGATTTTTTCTAATTTCATATTGATTTCATCTCTTGTTTTTCTATTCACAGATCTTCCAATCATCAAGGATGTATTGGAGATTGCTAATGTATTAAACAGCAAATGGAAGGTAAGTAATACCTCAAAAAACATATTTGATACCTGATCTTCATTCCATACTCACCATATATATTCGAATGTTATTATTTTTTTTAACTCCCGTTACTATTTATTTGAAATTTATTGCTTCTGTTATTCGTTTTGTAACAGAGGCAAGTGGAATTAATGTACATAATCACCTATGACATTCTTTTCAGACAGGTATCTTCACTTTCTAGGATGCCACATCATATAATATTTTCTTTAAATTAATCATATACATAATTTTAACATTTCTTCATAGGATTCATCTGTAACAGGAGATCCAGAAAAGTACCTTATTTTGAGGAAAAGTCAACTACAGTCAGCTCTTGCAAAGATCTTATTAAAGAAGGGAGCAAAACGTATAGAAGATTTAATGTCCTAATATAAGATTCCCGGTTTGTTCTACCAATAACATTCCACTTTATTATTTATAATTTACACAACCATATTTATTAAACGAGATCTATGATTTATCATTTATGTAGCAGATGTTAAAAAACCTCGCTATGTTCGTGTCAATACTCTGAAATTGGATGTTGAAACTGCTGTGTCTGAATTAAGCAAAGATAATATGGTAACATTAATATACATTATGGTACCCTATTTAATTTATCTTTTTTATTTTTCTGATTTTAGTTATAATAATCTTTATAGGTCGAGAAGGATGACATGATTCCCGATTTATTAGTGCTTCCACCAGCTACTGATTTGCACAATCATCCTTTGGTCACAAACGGCAGTGTATTTATGCAAGTAAGATTTAGTAAATTTTTTCATTTTGGTTTATTTTATTTCATCCATAATTACTTTAATATAATTTTTTTTTAGGGTAAGGCAAGTTCCATGGTGGCAGCTGCCCTTGGGCCTAAACCAGGGTGGGAAACATTGTAACTAGAGTTCATGCATGGGTATGCAGGAATGATGATGAGCATGAGATGGGTTCGATCACCGAACCATTTACGTGGGTCCCACATGTTAAATCCAAGATCATCCTGTTCAATTGGGCATAGCATGACAGGGTTTGGCAAACACCAGTTGGTATAGACTCTGAAAAAACAGGAAACTAGCATACTAGGTATTGCATTGGGATAAAGCTGGCATACCTGAGCAACTAAAAGAGCCTCCGAAGGGGAAGTTGTTGACGATTTGTTTTCTGCTTATATGAATCTTGAAAATCTTGACACATTAAACTCTTCTGGAACTGACGATAAACAAGGAACTGAGAATCGTGAAGATTTAAATAGTCGAGCTAGTGGAACATAAACAAATGGAGGTGATAGCAGTGATAATGAAACTACAAGTGGTGTTAATGATAAAGGGATTAAACGGAGTGCAGGTGGAGACATTTCTCCAACAACAAGGCATTATAGAAGTGTGTCAATGGATAGTTTTATGGGGAGGATGAACTTTGCTGATGAATCACCTAAGCTTCCTCCTTCTCCTGGAGGGCATATTGGTCAATTATCCCCAAATAATTCAATCAACTCAAATTCAAATACAAATACGTTCAGTTTGGAGTTTGGAAATGGTGAGTTTACAGGGGCTGAGCTCAAGAAAATCATGGCTAATGAGAAACTTGCAAAGATTGCTTTATCTGATCGCAAACGAGCCAAAAGGTATGTAGCTTTTTTCAAATTCATTAATATTTACATTATAATTGGAGAAATCTGAATATTTATTTTGATATTTGAATAAACAAATATATTTTTTATGTGATATGTTATAGGATTTTGGCAAATCGACAATCTGCTGCAAGATCAAAAGAGAGGAAAATGCGTTACACTACAGAATTGGAGCACAAGGTTCAAACTTTACAGACTGAAGCAACCTAATCAACAAACAAAAATCTCACTACCATCCTTAAGTATTATATCATTATACAATACATGACTAAAAATTACACTTTTCGTCCCTGTGTTGTATTGATTTTCACTATTCCATAACATGCCTTTTATAGAAGGCCATTTAGTCCCATCACATACCTTGTACCCATTTGCTTCCAGTTTAATCATCATCATTACAAAGATATTTTTCAGAAATCATCACCAATTGTCAAATATATGGTTTTCAAGAGTCGTCCAGAGAAATGAAACAGTGAATTATGAACTTAAAGCCTTTTACAATGGTGTCTGTCTCGTAGACTAAAAGTGTTATAAAAAAATGAATTATGGAAGAAAAAGGCAAAAAGGGCAAAAATATTCTTTTTTGGATCATAAAAGGACCACTTTTTCGTCCCTAATTCGATGTTTCATAAAAAATTTAGTCACTGGGACATATGCCATTTATAAAAGGGTGTTAAGCCCGATAATATACCTTGCAGAAGAGGGCATGTAGGTCATTTCATTTATCTCTGCAATGGGAAAATATAATCACAAATTACTTAAAACAAATTTGTCATGTAGTTTGGTTATGCAAAAGTAGATCGACGAGGTCTTATTATGCTGACATTTCGGCCTGCTATTGGTGAGCGCAAATGTGATTCAGAAAAAGAAATAGGTAATGGAACATTTTTAATTATAATTTACTTTCTATTTCCTGAGTTATTAAAATTGGAATGGAATGAAACATTACTATGGAATAGAATTATCCTCTTTAGCGATCTAACTGGTTTTTTGATGTGTGGTTGTTTGCCTTGTCAGTGACAGAAGTTGGATCATTCATAAGTTTAGGTCCAGGAGGTTCTTGTGAATTCTTCCATGATCCATTAATACAATCGAGGTATAATAATAACCATTTGTTATTTATGGTAAATATATTGAAAAATCACTATTTACTTACCATGTTGAAATATTAATTGATTATGGTCTATATTGATTATGTCTATATTATAGTGATGCAGGTCATTTCTCTAAGTAGGTTATTTTTGTATATAATGAGAATAAACATAGTTTTCATGTCCATGGCAGAACCAGAAAATTTTCCTAGGGGTAGCACAAAAAAGTATCGATAAAGGATAGTAATATATATATATATATATATATATATATATATATATATATATATATATATATATATATATATATATATATATATTATGACTTCATTAGATATATCAAAATAATGTAAAAATTTACATTTTAAAGTTGACATCTTCGTTAACATAATTATAAAGTACAATTTCATTAGATATAAGCTTTAGTGTTGAATTAATTTGTTGTTTATGTTAGGTTAGTACACACGCCATCTTTATTTATATTAGTGGGCCATTTCTTCTAATCAATGGGCTTCTAAATGATAAAATGGCTTTTTTAATTTAACCTTCATAGGAGCACACTTGATTTCACATGTTCATACTTGAAATATATATCTAATAAAATTCAATTTTTCACTACAGGTGGGGAGTAAATGAGGGGTAGTACCAACACAGTGGCCGAACTATTCATGTCTCTTATTAGTATGTAAATTTGATGTTATTTATGTATAAAAAAGGTTATTGAATTTATATTGGAGTTTTATTTGCGTGTAGCTGTAGCAAAAAATATCTTGAAAACAAACGAACGATTAACAGTTCCTGTAAGTAGAACAAAGTTTGCAATTGGGTAGTGCAGCTTTCAGTGTATGTGTTGGCGACTCTGTTGCTGCTGAGGTTAGAAGATCACTCATCCGTAACATGTGGAATGAACGTATGAAAGGCACAAAAAGAAATGTTGAGGTTTGGCAAGCTCTTTTCGTAGTTAGGTCACTTGTATTTCCTCTTACAGACGAGGATAGTGAAACCTGGTTGAAATTTGCTTCACTTTGCCGAAAAAGCGGTACGATTAGTCAAGCCAAATCCACTTTAATTAAACTCTTACAGGTTAGTTGGTATTTAATTTTATTTATTTATTTAATCTAAATCAGCTTAGGAAGGTTTAATAATTTTCACTTAAGCTAATTGTATTAATTATAATTTATAAGTAATAATCAGCTTATTCTTTTTACTTCTTTTATAGGATCTAGCAATAGAGCTTTCAAGTTCTTCTGGTCTTCAAGTATCTACACCAACTGGCTTTGGAGGTGCTCCACATGTATCTCTTATGGCACGTGTATATCTAAAACTCGCTGGAGAATGAGGCTTGAGGTTCCATGTGCTGAAATTGCTGAGATACTTCCACTTGCTAGGCTTGACTTTCTTCCTAATATATTTTTTAGTTTGAACCTATGGTGGCAAGATGGTGCAATTGATTGGATTCCACTTTATTAACTTACCATTTTTTTCTGTTATTGATTGTCATTGCTCATAAAATTGATCCATCAAACTTCTTCCTTAATGGTGTATAGTTAAAAAAACACAAACATTGACCCCTTAAAACATCATGTTTATGCTTCGTGTGCTCCCAAAATAGTTGTTGATTAATTATTTACTAATCAAATTAGACACCTTTAAGCATTTAAGAAAGTGAAACTTGTTTACTTATTTCAAGTTATTCTTAAAATCCTCTTTTCAGGGCATGAGTCCATCAGCTGTAGCTGAAGGTCAAGAAAAAATGAAGAAAATATTCAAGGAGTAAGTAGTTGTCCATGTTCCTTATTGTGTGATCTGTATAAGTTGTTCATGACATAATATTAGTTGTTACTTACATGGTTAGACAATGCTTATAATAATAAATTTAACATTTTTGCAGGTATGGTGTTAGTTTTTTTTGCAAGCAAATGCAATATGTCCTTAGAATCCACTTGTCATGAACAAATTCATTGGGCACACAAAAGATGTCATGGGTTTGATCAACTGGTACTGGCTCTTTAGTCTTTCTTTTTATATCTTTTTATGAAATCAGCTTATGATATGAGCTCTGTTTTTCACATGGTCTAGGACCACTAATTGCTTAGGATGGTAACTGGGTTGTCTTTTCGCACCCTCCTTTGATACACCATAAAGGCATGAAGATTCTCTCTCTCTCTCTCTCTCTCTCTCTCTCTCTCTCTCCAAATTCTAAAACAAACAACAACAGGTAAATAGATGCCAACATTTTGCTTAAAATTCTGTGAACATTGAAAAAAAACGAGGTCGATAGTGCCTTTTTCATGAGATTGTCAAAAGTTGAATAAAATAAAAAAAATAAACAAGGGTAATATTGTAATAGGGAGGGTCTTAATACATAAAGTGACCAACATCTCACTTAGCACGACAAGTCATTTTGATTTTATTAAGTAAAAAAGAAACAACCTTATCAATCTACATGCATTTAGTCATGTACTGCTGTCCCACAATTTGTCATCATAGAAGAAGACCCTACTGTCCCACAAGGGTAATATTGTAATAGGGCTGCATTATATGTCATCGTAGAAGACCCTGCTGTCCCATAATTTGTAACAATTTGTATTATCATTATCTGATTTTAATAATAATTTGTTTTGTTTTATTGTTGAGGTTATAGACTAATAGTCTTACTTTTCATGTCATTATTATTTATTTCTTTTTTTGTTTGCAGTTTCTTGCAGAAACTTTGGATGTTGTTCAAGACATTGATTGGGTCATTTCTCTTGGAAATGCTTTTGCAAAGCAGTATGAGCTTTATACATATGATGATGAGCATTCTGCACTACTTCACAGGTATGAACTCATTATCATTATCATTACATTTTTTAAATTAAATTATCTTATTGAGAGTATTCTTCTCCTACAAATGTCTTGGTATACTTCTTCAGAAAGTTGATAACATGACTTATGTTCGTGATAAAATCGTCTGGATGTACAAACAAGCAAATAATCTAGATTTCAAGTATTCCAGCACCTTGATAATTATTACATTGCTATGTTTCACATTTAACCCTGTTTTCTAATATTGTTTTGGTTGAACATGTTATTCCTAAAATTTTAACAGATTCTTGAATTAGACACACCCCTACAGCTTTCTGAATGCAGGCTTATTTTGGTGCTGGATTAAGTGGAGTTCTGGCTTGGTGTGTGCGAGTGGGAAGGATCCAACCCAATGCCCCCGGAGTTCTGGCACCTTCCATCTTTACTTCCTATGTATCCAGGTTAATCTACTCGTATTTATTCATGTCTCAAAGTGTGTATTCCAATATCAGGTATCATGATTTGTGTATTTATAAAATTTTGAAATAGGGTCTTGTTCAATGCTTTAGCTATGTTTGCTCTAACGGAGATCAACTTAGCAAAAGTAAGTTACTGTTTCACCCTTTTATTTAATATTTTTGTGATTGAATGAAAGTTTTAATGAAAGTAATTGACAACCCTTTCTCTGTAAATGATGTTGTGATTGTGGGAGAGGTGTTGTGTTTTTCTCTGTTGCTAGGTAACCTTCTCAACAACAACATTCTACTTAAGAAGGTGAGTAATCAAGATTAAGGGAGACTTGTAATCATGTTTGACATTCCTTTCCAGTAAGAAACAGAGTTGTATGATTATTTGTTAGTTTTATAGGAATGTATAACCCATGTTAGCAATGTATTATTTTTGTTTAACATTTGAATGATTCTTTGTATGACATTACAATTTGTGCAATTTATTTTATTTTTTGAGTATGAAATTTTATTTTATATTATGCAATGGATTGTATTTTTGTATATGGTATTTTATTTCTATTATGAGAAATTAAATGCAAATTTAATTTGAAAACTAATAAATATGTAAATTTATTTTTTTTAAACATTTAAATTTACGATACGCAAAAATGTGTGCCATCTTCATTTATGACATGGCCTTTCTTGATACGCATTGCGTGTCATTAACACGCACGTCGTAAGGTTACGACACGCGAATGCGTGTCATCTTCCTTTATGACAGGGCCTTCCTTGATACGCATTGCGTGTCGTAAACGCGCGTCGTAATTGCGCGTCGTAAATGCGCGTCGTCTCTCTTTATGACAGGGCCTTCCTTGACACGCATTTGCGCGTCGTTTGAGCCTTTTACGACCCGCAATGAGCGTCGTAAAAGGCTGTTTTTCTAGTAGTGCATACTGAAACATATAACATAACCATTATTAGAATACTGCTCACTGCTGCGAGACCAAACATACTCACTACTAGGTTCCCGTTCTTGTCTCGGCCTTTCCGAAATCGAGTACGGATCCTCTGCTTTCAGTAGTACGGGCCAATACTACCTTCCACATATATCCGTACTTTCCTCAAGAACTGCGCTCCACCAGGTCCCTTTTCTACTACTACTGCTCCCAGCACTACCTCATCCTAGGCTTACCATAGGGAAACCTCTGACTCAACTCAAACCAGTCATCAGCTGCTGAAGGCCTCCTCGCGATGCCAATTAGCCATCACGTGGATACCATCACATGTGACGAGGCTCAGATAATCCTTCAAGTAGAAGACTCGTTCCTACAATGGTTGGACTCAAACAAGATCTGTGCAATAGGACCAAATCCAACACTCTAAGATTATTCAACCGTGATCACATGTGACGTGATGTATCCACCTAATGGCTAACTCCCATCACTCAGAATCCTACAATGCACATTGCAAGTAGCATTCTGAAAAGGGAAAATCTAACCATGACATACTCAAGCAATCATATCCACATAGCAAGAATCTGAACTAGCATGCAACACAATTCATAAACTCGGTATAACCTAATCAGGCTATCCTACTACTATCTAATCGGCACAACCATGCAAATCAAAAGCACATATAACAGGCGCATAAGACATCCTACCTAGATCCTTAGTCCTAATCTAGCATGGTGTTCCATTAACTGATAATCAAAACATAAACTTGTAAGGGTATTTTGGGGTACTTACTTGAGCTCGGCTGATTGAATGCACCACACCCTTTTTTCTTTTTTTTCAAAGTTCTTTTCTTTCTGAATTCTTTTTGCTTTTCTAAAACCTATTTCTTTCTCAAAACTCTTTTTACAAAACTGTCTTTCCATTTTGAAAACTTCTTTACCAATTCCTCAGTTTGAGTTCAGACACACCCGAGATCATGTCCGAATCCCTCAAACCAAGGCTCTGATACCAACTTGTAACGACCCAAAATTTAAGACCAAAACTTTCTTTTAATAAATCATTACTTAAAGTAGAGTCATCATTCCAAAACATAATATGAGTATAAGTTCTCAAAACACATGTTCATTATCAGAGTAAACATTCCCAGGCTATCTAAAATATGGTGTGTGCCATGCGATCACCCCGAGCTCTTCCCTCCGCCACTGGAAGTACCTGAAACCAAAACTGAAAACCGTAAGCACGAAGCTTAGTGAGTTCCCCACCCTACCACATACCATACATACTGGGCCACGCCCGCTATCTTGGGCCTTGCCCCTACCTCGGGCCTCGCCCGCTGCAACGGCCCCGCCGCTCCAGGCCCCGCCTGACTTCGAGCCCCGCTCGGATACAGATCTGTTTTACTTAGGCCTCGCCTGCCAACAATTAACATCACATAAACATATCACAACACATAACTAAACACATACAACTGGTTCTGTCCTAAGGCCTCGCCTATCCTGGGCCTCGCTCATGTACTGCTACTGATGAGTCATGGAACCCGTCCACGCTCCTAGTGGTAGTGAGATACGGGCCCAGCCCACCCTCAATCCTTCCCTAACTTGGGCCTCACCCCTGTTATGCTATTATTGAGATGTAGAACCCCATCCACACTCTGCTATTGGTGAGATACAGGACCTCACCCACACTCACCTCCCTACCAGGCACATACATGTATCACACAGACAACAAGTATAAACTATCATATAAACAAATCCTTGGGCACCCACCCGCTATTACTGGACCTCATCCTGATAATCATACTAGCATACTGTGCCTAGGGCTAACCCCCGGGTCTTCTACTCATAACTACGTGGGCCGACATTGTGGCCTTAGACCCATTCACACAAAGGGAAACTCACCTGCACTTGCTGAACTTGCTGATGATCTCACTAGCTGCTGCCCGACAACTCACTGAACTCCTGGTCCCCTTGCTCCCCGAACTACCAATATCAAAGCAACACTGAGTATAACTGACCCCCGAAAGACAACCAAGTCAACCCTGGTCAGAGACAACCTTCCAGGTCAACCTTACTCGCCGAGTCACCCTACTGACTCGCCGAGTTCAAAATGTTCAGATTCCTTCCATTCGCGTCTCAGCTCGCCGAGTCAGTCCATGACTCGCCGAGTCTACCGATTTCTGAGTCCCGACCTGTCCAACTCACCGTGTCTTCACCCGACTCACTGATTCGAGTCTCAACTCAAAGGGTTTGGGGTTTCGCGACCTGACTCGCCGAGTCCAAGAACAGACTCCTCGAGTACAAGGCAATCTTCATATGACTCGACGAGTTGTTCATCCCACTCGTCGGGTTTCTCCACAACTTCATGCTACTCGCCGAGTCCACTCAAAGGACTCGCTAAGTCCCTTCAATTCTCCTTACATGCAGAGGACTTTTGAGTCATGCATGGACTCCAAACTGTAGATCTACCCTTCCCAAGCCTATTCCTCATGTAAAGTTGCAAACTTTACGTGTAGAGAAGGAGATCTAGGCAAAATATGCCATAAACTAGGGTTTAAGGACAAGGGGCTTCAAAATCAACTCAAGGGCTGATACTTTTTGCTTCTCCAGGCCATAACACACTTAGATTTGAAGTAGCAACTCCAGATCCGGCTTCTAACCCATAAGGGTGGCTAATCATGGCTTAAAAAGCCCAAAACTCACAACCAAAAATAGATCTAAGGGAAGGAAACGACTTAATACCTTCAATACCTCAGAAAGACTCCACAAACTCCAGATCTGAAGCCAATCCATGAAGCTTCACTGATTCCCTTCCCTCTTCTTCCTTCAAATCACTCAAAAATGGCTTGGAAGCTTGGATGCATAACAATGGAGGCTTAGGCTTCGTTTTCTGAATGAGGGATGCTATAAGGAACCCTAATGGAGAGAATAAGAAGCTTAAGTAGCGCCCAAAGTCCCGGATTTAGGGTTTTCCTCGCACAGACCGGACTCGCCGAGTCCACTTGGTCGACTCGCTGAGTTGGCCACTTACACCTTGACCCGGATCCTGCTCGGACTCGCCGAGTCGACCCTTAAAATTAGGGCTTTCTTTCCTTTCTTGGCCTTTAAAACTTTGGGTGTTACATAGGGTTTCAATATTAGCTAAAGGGGATGGAGGCTGACCTAAAATGTACAGAGGAAGGATATAATGTTGCTTATATAGGGATAAAACCCACAAATTAGGGTTTAATGTTGAAGGGAGAATGCCATGCGTACCCCTAGTGCGCTTGGCTTACTCAAGGAGAACCCGCGACCAAGCCACTCGGTACGCTCGACGTACACGAGTAGTACACCTCACACACTAGATGATCCTCCGCAACACTAAACTTTATTTAGCCATAACTTCCTCGACCTAAATTTGTTTTAGACGTTCTTTATATCCATATAAAGTTGACGAGAAGCCCTACATTGCTATTAACTCTCCATTTCCTTAAAACTTCCCAAACAAAAAGCCAAAGTTCATAAAGGATCAAGCTGCCAAATCATGATTATACCCTTGGGCTCTATAACACAATCGAACACTCAAAACACTTAGCTTATAAAACCCACATCCAAAAATTGCCAATTCCCTCCTTCCCCAAGGCCCTAAGGCTTAGGATAACTAAGGACCAGGCCATGGCCCCGAACAATGAATTGATTCCAAACCGAGTGTTACAAATTCCCCTAATTAAATTAGGTTTCGTCTGCAAAATCATTCCTGGAACACC